ATGTAAAATTTTTGATAAAATTTGAGGAAGTAGCATTACTGTGTCAGGAGAAATAAAAACATGCTGAAATATGATGTCTGTTCGCTGCTGTGAGTTGCCCTGTAAAGCCTTAAATAGGAACTTAAGAGTCAGATGTGCCAGTCAGATTTTGTGGGAGTTTTACAGAGCACATCATACATCTATATGTATGAACGTCCCAAACACAGGCTCAAAAAGAATGTCTGTTTTAAGTCTCAAATGCCCAATCCGGAATAAGACATGATGAACAGTAGATAATAGTAGACAACAGAAGACAATAATAGAAGGTATGTCATTCAACAAGTGTTAAATTCTCTTTAAATACTCTTTCAACATGATTGCAGATTCATCAGCTGGCAGGAGGTGTCTGAAGCAAAACCAACTTTAAAAAATGTTCTTCTGCATATTACATGCGATTACACATTTCCACCAGAGAGGTCTCCAAAACCTCAAATCTTACATAGTGCAGCTCTAGACTCACACAGGCAGATTTAGTGACTAGAAACAGATATCAAAGGGTCTGATCACAGTATTAACTCACCTGTGAGGGGATCTCGCCCCAATACAGCTACATTGGGAAGAGGCATGAGAACCAGTTGCTGAAGGTTTTCCTAAAGAGTCCAAATGAGAAAGAAGAGAGTAGGAGCATAAGTGGTGAAATTTCAGTTGTGTGAAAGTACTTAATTCATTCATTAATCAACGGATAGAGAGCATGGGTCTAATTCAATCCAAATGCCATAGTGAAACTAAGACTGCAACTAAAATACTGCCAAAATATGACATTTACTAATCAGTGAAAACCTGAAATTTCCATTTACAGCAAATGTATTACTAAAATAAATAACTGCTGAATGTAGAGAACTTTTCATGCTTTAAGTATGAAATGTTGTAAAGAGCAAAGGAGAGAAAGAAAAGGACACAAAAAACATTTTCTTTCAAAGTAACACTGAGAACTGCTGTTGTTTCACACTCCTGTTGCCAACTAGGACACTTTAAACAAGAAGTGAAACCACTGTTGACATGACCACAGTTCCGTTCTGTTCAACTACACTTATGACTTAGAAGACACTGGACTATCATCTGATTTAGACCGTTGCTTTGTGTACACAATCACACATGCAGGTGACTCATTTTTCCTGATTATTTTTGTAGAAATATCTTGCGCAAACACAAGTCCTCTACACTAGGATTTAGGCATTTTCTCTGTGGATTTTGGATGATGAAAATTTCTGAAAAACAACACTGAATGAGCTGATGCAGATTAAACTAGGCAACATGAAATTAAGCAAGGCAGCACAAAAAACAGGATTCTGGCACTTTCCTCATGCCAAGGTACTTTCAGATATTGTCGACTCTTTCTACAGGCCCCCTAGTGGCCATTCCACTGACAGAATAGAAATCAACCCTGGAAAAAATCAAGTATCTCAAATAAATATTAAATAAGTAAATTATTTATTCCTATAATTTCATTATCAGATTTATAAAACTTTTGGCTTTCTGCGTGGGACATGTTGAGCTGCCAGTGAGCAATGAGTGCTGAAAGGGGAGGGGTGACAACCCCCTGCTGTGAAAACAAATCACATCTCTGCACAAAGATGGCCGTACCGCAAAACTGCAGCTTTCTTCATATCAAGATTATGTGTACAACCACAATAAAAAACAGTTTTAACACAATAAACACAAAAAAGCACATTTATAAATTACGACTTGCCTGCCAAAACCTGTTTTGTAACTCATATTCCATCGAAATATATTCCATCAATATTACTGAAGAAAAAATGCATAATTCAACTGAAGGATTTTCTCTAAAACAAACGAAAATTGCATTTTATGGCTACAAAGGTGATACTTGGAGTAATTAAGGGTTAACGGTGCAGCTCACATTCACAAAAACATAACTACAAACAAGAACCTCTCTCAGGGTATCTTGTACAACGGAACTGCATTTAAAATGCAGATGAATCAGTATCACACACAAACTGTGACAAACCTGGCTAAAATATAACAGTTTCTCTGTTTTATATCTATAATATTTGGACAGTTCATCAAATTTGTTGTTTTTCATTATATAAATAACAAAAATAGCTATTGAACAATTATTAAAAAACAACTGGTCTTTTATAGCTGCTTTTAGAATAGGATGAGAGTATAATCATATTTCTGTGTTGTTGAAACATAATTTAGATCTGAAAGGTTTAGGAGGAAACAATAACTGTGCAGCTGTCATTCACAACATACCTGCATAAAGCAGCCTCAGTCTGAAGGTTGAGCAGGGAACAACATTTGGAAATACAGGTGAATCACTATCACACACATAGAGAGACAAACTGCAAAGGCTATTCACCTGATAGTAGGACCTGAGGTGCCGGTTAAGGATGGAAAAATTCTGAACTCTGAGAATCTTGTCATCACCCACGTTGTGATAGATCTGCTCTACTTTTGGATTTGGATCACTGGCGGAAATAAATAAACAAATGGAAAATGACAAATCCAAATACACTTGGGCATTTTTAATCTGTTTTCTTTCTACTTTCCACAAACATGTGGGCTATTAGCCGTTATCTTACATGATTCTCATGACTTCATTGAGGTAGACTCCGTCGGTGAGGCGCAGGTATGCCCGAACTGCATTATGGGAGTTAGAGTTCACCTCCATGTAGTCCTGGTAAAAGGGATTGGTACCTTCATCGCCCACCATGTCCTCAAAGAGAAGAACCTTACGAAGATATGAACCTCAAAGTTAGTCTAAACGCCAGCACAGCTAAAAAATAACGCCTTTCAATTATTAATTATAATTAAAAGCATGACGACAATTTTAAAGAAACGAATTAATCAAAGGTAAAATATTAAGTTGTTAACTACAGTATCCAACAATGTTAATATTATAAAATAAGCCATTTTAGTACGGAACATCCACTGTTTCTCAAGTGGGCTTTGTTGATATACAATGTCACATAAAAAAATGTCATTTAATTAACGTGTGAGTAAGAAATGCTCTAATGAAACACTTACCCACGTAACAAGTGCGCTTCCCATAAAATCTTCTAACGTTTCCGTAAAGTTAGCATCCATCTTGCTCAACCTCAGCCTAATATTTCTTTGAAAGATCTTTTGAACGAAACTTTTTATAGGTATTTAAAGCTTAAATATGTATTCATGGTTAGTTTTATCCAACTAAAGTAAACTTTCCTCAGACTTCGTCTACTAGCTGAAGTATGTCCGTTAGCATTGTGGCTGCCCCTGCCCTTCTCCTTTTCTCTGTCACGTTAGCAACACGCTTAGAAACCACCCCGGAATCGGCAAAAGACTGTCGTTGCATCAATTCTGTTCCTCGTCACAGCGGCTCCTGAAACAACTCAGTTACCGCAGGGTTTCCACACAGCCAGGACAGGCTGAGTGCTCAGTGAGGCCGGGGAAAACACCCCCACAACACGCTTACTTTCCACTTTACTCTGTGGAAAGTCACCAAATCTCCAGAAGTTCACGTTTTGTCACTTTGTGCAACAAACACACCTACAGAGGGGAAACGACACTCCAAAAGTGTTAGTGCGAGGTGTTAGAGTGTCAAACTTGGTTCCACAGCTCCATCGTGTGGTGTCCTGCAGTAACACTCTCCAGCGCGGTAGCACGGTGCTGCGGTAATATAGGCTTAATGTACACACTAAAAAAAGAAAGTTGAAGAGTCCCCAGATTATTGAATTTTCAGATTTACCACATCATCGTCAACATTCCATATAAACACTAAGCTGACATGTTTAGGTTCACTGGTCATTTTGGATAGTCAGTAAAATAGCATTATTTTTGCACTGTACACATTGCATCTTCTATTCCTTATTACCACTAATAATAATAGTAATTTTATACTATTAATAATCATTCTAATAATTTCTGACTCAGTAAGTTTCTCTGCAATGAGCCATTTCACATCAAACCACTATGAATGACTTGGTTCACATCTCAGCCTTTGAACTGTGCAGAAAAGCTAAATTGAACACTGATTCATAAACAGATTGTGGTCTTCAGTGTTGACACAGATATGCTACATATGGTACATTATAAAAAGTTCTCATGTTTGTTCTACATTGTAGGCTATGGGTGAATGCTTTGACAGCAGTTATGGTATTAGCAGCTACCAAAAGGATAAAGAGATTTCATGCGTCATAACACGGGACAGCCTGCAACGCTGTCTAAATCAGTCTGACATACTAGTCGTTTATAGACTAGCCTACATAATCCAGTTCACTCTCTCTCTTTCTCTCTCTCTCTCTCTCTCTCTCTCTCTCTCTCTCTCACTCTTCCCCCAACCCCCTCCACATCACACTCTCATTCTATTTTTATCTATGCGATAGGGATCAAAGCCTTCACAAAATCTTTTAGTCTACTAAGTTACCCTCGGCCAAACCAATAGTGAGGAGAAAGTGCTCTAAAGGAATAAAACAGAAGCGAGACAACTCTCTCAAACCCTCTTGAGGAAGAAGGGAGGGGCTCTGAGCCTTTATAAATAGTTTCAAATCAAAAACAGCATTGCAGTCACTTTTACAAGCTGGAAAAATTGACCCAGTAACATCACAAAGCAGATACAAACTCAAATCTTTATTTGCCTCACGCTTCTTTTGCATTTGCTCTAGACTGATATCTTTATAGCCACGCATAAAGCAGAACGAGGGACTACAAACAGCATGCAGTTTCATATACACACTCTTTCATACACCACTGTGAAACAGTATGGTTTCCTTCAGGTTCTTCAACTTTCTGTATTTTTACGTCACTATGTTCGGATGAAAGGAAAGGTCAAGACTTTTTTGATGTCATAAATGACTTTTTTTCATCAAATTATGTTGAAATTGTAATGGCAAGTTTATTGATAATTAATAACGATATAACATAAATAAGGAGTGTTTTTATTTTTTATATTTGTTTAGATTTTTGATCATTAGAATTATGATCTCTATTCAACCTTCTATTCAACCAGTCCCTGTCCTTTAGCTTGAGGACGTGGCCTCCTTCTCCGGTGCTGCTTCCTCTGCTGCCGCCTCGGTGGCTGGAGGAGTGACGTCCACCTGCACTTGCTTGAAGAAGTTCATGATCTTCTCTTGCAACTCCTTGACTGTTTCCTTCACTCCTTTCTCCAGGATGTAGCCCTCAGTCTCGATCTCCACGTTCTCTTGACCCTCCACTGCCTGCATGGACGTCTGTAGGATGCGCAGGCTAAAGAGCACAGTCATCTACAGCATACAGAGAGAGGCCACAGGGGGTTAAAGGTGGTCTTGCGTTTGTTCTGGACAGGCTTGTCAAAGGTGTGTGTTTTTAATGCTGTGCTGTGCAGGATTTTGATTGTTGCCTGCATAAAATATGGCAACAATGTCCCCAAAAAGTATTTGTCAAACCAAAGTGTCAAACCAAGCAGCATTTATTTTAAACAGACCATTCCAAGACTGTCATTAAAGTGTTCTCTCAAAAGGGGCTGGTTTGTTTCAGATCATTATCATTTGAGCAATTGTATCTAATTCCATTAATAATTCCATCAATGAACACAAGCTCATCGACACTATTGTATGAAAACAGCCCCAGACTTTGACTTTTCCACCTATGTGCTTTAAAGTATCCTTAGAGCAATCTTTTTTTACTGAGCCCTGCTGGTGACATCCCATATAAATAAATAATAATGCGTGGCCACGCTGTATTAAGCCATGTGAACAAGATCCTAATGCGTAGCCACAACTTAGAAAGGAAACAAGATCATGCCTTATTAAGCTGTGGTCAAGGCTTAATTATCTCATTGCCATGATTAAGTCGTGCCCAAGTATTAGGATCTCGTTCCCACATCTTACTAAGTAATAGCCATGTATTACTTTTGTTTATACAGAAATGTCACCAACAGGGCTCTGTACTGTTTGTAATTCGTCTCCAGTTTTTCTCCACACAAAGAGTCTACCATCAGTTTATCAAAAATGACATAATCTAAACAACTACATACAATTTTACCAGTGGTTGAATTGAGTCCAAATACTTTTGGGGCCAATGTATGGGAATTATGTGGTTTCTGTGGATGATCACAACAAGCCATGGCTTCTCCAAACGCATTTAGCTTAGTGTTTACTGCCTCTTTTTACTATATTTTGCTGGCAGTGCAACCTAAAGTAGCTGTGAAGTGGTCCTGACTCAGTGAAGCCTATTAGAATTATATAAAGGTTTTAGCTAAGAACTGTAGAGAATCACAGCTGTGAATTCCTTTGGCTGATTACACAGCGGTTAATGACAGCAGCTAGAGATTCCACCTCTGGGTCAGATTATTTTCGTGCCATAAGATGGCTGCAGAGCCGGTCAATAGCTGGATGAATGTGTGAATGGTTCAATATAGGGAGGCATGTCACATAACAAACTGATGTTATTGTAGGTCAGCTCTATAATAATGTAGTCATTAAACAGTTTCCTCCAATAACACCTGTAATTAGCTACACTGTAAAAAATTACAGTACTATAATATTTACATACTAGTTGCATTACTTTCACAGCAATTTACTGAACTAACAGTACTACTAACAGTAAATAATGCAAAATAGCAACTGTATACTGTGACTAAGAACCACAAGATATTAATGGATATAGCTGTATTCTTCGGTGCACTTACTGTATTGAGCCATAATTAAACTACAGGATTCTCTTGTATTTTTACATAACTACTGTAAAAAAGTAATGCAACTCATTCACCAGTAATTTACTGTAAATTGACATATAAGAAAAATTACTTTTAATTTTTCCAGAATTATAAATGTTAATTAAACCAAAACAATAAATACTAATTTTTTTGTTCTATTAAACTGTTAACTCCCAATGATAATCTGCAGTGATGATTTGCAGTGTTATTCTAGAAAAAGTCTTAAGATGAGTTGATTTCACAATAAAATTAAAAATGTGTTGAATATTGTGAAATCCTCGCAATAATTAGCAGTTTTTACTTTAAAGTTATAAATTGAAGCTGTTTCTCTACAGCCTATTAACAAAAATGGTTAGTTTTACTCTTAAACAAACCAGGCTGTATATAACTGCTCTTCAAATCCTGCCTGGTGGGTCAGAGCACAGCACATTTTAATGCAGTGATTATTAAGCAGTCAGATATCTAGCTGTCTGTTTTGTTTTTTCTTCATCTAACCGTTTGTTTCATTTATCTGGTCTTTTATCTTTGTCTCATTGTTGTCCCTTTTTTCAGTTGATGTCCTTTTATTGACTATTGTCTTATTTCAATGTTATGTTCTCAAGGTTATGTTCTCAACTATTATTATTGTTATCAACCTTCCTACAGATATTCCAGCTCTGATCTGCCATCTAATAAATGTCTCCAGACCTTGAATAGCTTTGACTCTGCTCTAAGCTACAGTGCATCTCCAGATGGATGGTTGAGGATTTTTTTCTGCTACAGCACACTTAACCTTTATAATTCTCAATCTTCATGCTCTGTACCTGAACCAGGAAGACAGACATGACTCCAGGCCCGATCGTGTTCATCAGGCCCATGTAGTAGTTGACCAGAGCCTGACGACAGCCACGGTTGTACAGGTTCAGCTCCTCGGACTGGTACTCATAGTTGTAATGGGCTGCATTGTCCAGAAGCTGGTACTGGATACAGGGCCTCGGGGAGGCCGGGTTACAGCAGCTGAACGGCACGCCGTCCATCAGGTAACGGCCATCCACGTTACTCTTCACACGACTGGACAGGAGAAAGAGTGGCACAAGACACACAGTCAGGCGCTACTGCTAGATATGTCAGTTAGCCCTGGATGTTTTTAACAGTGGTGGACAAAGTTTACAAATCCAGTACTTGAGTGAAAATAGATGTTATGTACTTTATTGGTCCTACAAGGGAAATTGTATTTGTTTTTACGTGTATTAAAAGTAAAAGTATTGTGAGATATTCTTAAAATTCAGTCATTTCTACACTTCAGTGTAGTCTTGTGTAGTCTTCAGTGTAGTAAATGGGTAAAATTACATTTCCCATCCAAACTCCCAGTAAATAAGGTATCTTATTAAAAATACCCTGCACAGTGTTATTACAGCATTTTCTTTCATTCTGAAAGCTTGTCAGAACTATGATTGGACAGTCAGGGGAGAGATTTAGTGAAGTTTAGTGATCTAATGATTATTATTCTTTTGTATATCATCGTTGTCAAAAATGTATCTAAAAATGTATTTTTTTGCTTTTTTTTCATTTTCATACATCATTGAGAGCAGAGGCTGCCCTCTATATTATGTGAAAATTTCATGATGAATGGACCAACAGAAATGCACCAAAAAAGCTTGGAATATTGAAATAAAAATCTAATTTCATTGACTCACAGTAAAAGTAAAAAAAGTGTTCTTCTGCTGTAAAGTTACTATTTTGGAGATATTTGTGTTTTTGTGTTCTTTTAATAGCGATGATATGGAAAACAGAGTGCAGAGACTTCAAAAAAGGACTTATGTACAGTAGTCGGTCACATGTACTTCATTACTGCCCATCACTACTTTTTAACCACTTAAGCTCTAAAGACCTCACAGTACTTTAGGTGCACACTTCCATTACTGCTGAATGCAGCTATTTAACTTACATATTTGTTTGTCAGTAGTTACAAAATAATTCACATTACTTACTAAAATATAAGCTTTAAGATGAACTGAATTATAAGCGTAAAGCTGAAGAGGGCATTTTATATTCTTTCATGGTGGTTACAGCAGCAATGAGGCAGTAGATTGTTCTTTGTGCGTTCTAAATAGATTTTTTGGGGGATAATCCATAGTTCCTTATGGATGTGAGTATTTTGAGTGATGATCAATGTAAATCGGTCAGGGTGACATATGCTGGCACATGACCTTTTTGATCAGCACTTGCCAAAAACGACATTTTCATTGATTATGAAAGCAAGAATGTGGGGCTGTCAATGATGTTTACAGGAAGTACAGGAAGTCCCCTCATCCGCTGACCATACACACTGCTGGTTCTGTTCTCTCTCTCTCTCTCTCTCTCTCTCTCTCTCTCTCTCTCTCTTTCTCTCTCTCCATCTCTCCCCCAGTGTGGTGCAGCAAAGTGCTTTCTTTTTAATGACTCACTCTTTCACTTCTTTGGAGGTGAAGTCCAGGTACCGGTTGTTGATCCACTGCACCTCAAACCAGTCCCTGTAGTTGGTGTTTCCACAGCACTGAAACTCAATCTGCAGACGGTCAATTGTTTCCTTCTGGAAGCAGCGGCCTGGAGTGTCTGTGTCCTGTGGAATGTATTACCTCTTTATACTTAGCTCTGAGAGCTTTGGGTCTGTTATGTGACATAGTGACAAGTTTTACAGCACATAAAATTTGTCCTTGGACTAAATTACATGACTAATGCATGACTACTGTTTATTTGCTGAATTTAACATATTGGGAAAAATGAAACATAGAAAGTGGCCTGTGCAAAAGTTATTGCACTTTTTTATTGTTTTATTTTTATTTTTTCATTATGTTAAACTCAGCAAATAAATGAAACTTGTGGAGTAAAATGGGAATGTTATCAAAATGTTATATTTAAGTTTATTCTCTGTAAATCAACAAAACAATCAAAAGTTTGCATATAACTGTACATTGTCATTACACTGGCTTACTTTGGTGCAATGATTAACACAGAAATCAGAAATTATCTTTTTGGTGATTTCTGTCCCAAAATATACTTTATACTATATTTCATTATGTTTGGATTTAACTACGTGCTCATACTTCATGAGGACAGTACCCAACCCATTATCATGACAAAAACAATACCATGTGAGTGGTTCTGGTGAGTTTTCAGAAACACAATAATCCTGATGTTTGAAAGTATTTTGTTGTCATGTCATCCTTATTTGCTTGAATTTATTTAAATATCTAACTGAGCCATTTCTTTTGGTTACTGATGTTAGAGATAATGCATGGGGTCTTATGTCATCTTCTTTCATCATCATAAGTAAATTCTATATTAGTTTCATAATGGTTTAATTGCATAGTAATACCTGAGTAATAATCTTAAGGTTAGCTGAATAATAGTGCCTGCTGTTTTTGGGTTATAAGAGAGAGAATGTGAATTTGTGCATGTAATTGCTCACCTTATAGAAGCGAATGCCATTCTTCAGGCCCACTTTCAGAGATTCCTCCAGACTGGGCTGCAGGGCATAGCTCAATATCATGGCCACCAGCAGCAGGGAGGTGAAGAATATGGAGACACAGAAGAAGGGAGTGAGGAAGTTCTTCCAGCGTGGAAACCGTGAGGCGTCCAGAGAGTCCTGGCACACTTTACCAGCACAGATGTTGATCCCCACGGATGCCAGCCCCACTGCCATCAGCAGATTGGGCACAATGTGGATGTCATTGTTGTGCATCACCTACAAAACAAGGTGAGAGTTAAAGGTGCAATAAACAGAATTAGCAACTTTGGAAATCTGCAGAAATGCAGTGTTTTTAACTTTAATAGGAAAACACAAGCTGAGAGGTAGTTTACCACATTGTTAAGTGATGAGTGTCTTGGCTTTAAAACACAATTACATACAATACTGTGCAAAAGTTTTAGGCAGCTGAAAAAATTTGATTAAAAGGCAATTTAATTTAGGTGTAAGCTTTTATTTCCTAGAAAAACTGGTGATTTTATGGATGACAGTGTACATATACATATATATATATATATATGAAAAATATACTCCATATGAAAAGGCCATGTGCCCTTTTAAAGGTGTGAACATTATATGATAAATCGTTTAATATAAATTTTGAAAAGCTAATTTTTTAAAGTTATATTACCAATATGTTAAGAACATTTTGACCTTTTCTACAAAGTTACCATTTCAAAAAATACAAGGATTTTTATGACGCAAAGAAAGGGAATGCACTCCTTTTGCATGGATGCGGTACTGCGGCCTTTGGACATAACTCTGGACAATACCAACAGTATTGTAAAGGAAATGCCAAATAGCAGGACAGAGTCACATGTAGTAAGTTTGACTGATATTTTTTAATGCCATTGATGGAAACAACCTAAAACCGTCATTTGTTCTGAAACTTAAAAGCAGGTCTAACTATGGGATGTTGAGCTGTAAAAGAAGAAGTTGTAAATGTTCAAAGATCTACACGTGCTGACCTAATGGCTTTCCTACATTGGGCGTTGGAGGTTATTTCCTGTTCCTTTGACATGTGACCAGCAACACCCATTAAAGACTGTCAAGGACTGACAGCAAAAGGCACCCCAGCTGCTTCAGTTCTAGCACTGAGTCTGCAGACTGTGGCTGATGTTGACACAATGCATACACAAAAATAAGAACTGACTGTTTACTGTTGTATTAAGCTTCAGTGTTCAGTTGTACAAGGTGGAAAATATCTAGTCCAGTCAGGTTTAGTTTTGCAAATCATGGCCTGCAGTGCTGTTAATGCACAGTATGTGGATGAGTTGAACTTTGCCCTATATACTTCAGTATATCCGTATATTGCTTTGGATGAACTAATAATTCTGTTCCATTGTGCTACTTTACAGGTTTCCTTATTTCTATTTGTGTGGTTCTGTGTACCAAAGCCAATCATAACCACTTTCCAGCCTCTCTTTATCCCTTAGATTTAAACAGGCTGTTTTTGTAACTGTGCTTTTAACACGGATATATGTAAATGAGCCCTGTTCTGATTGGCTGCCCTGTGTTGTGCCTTGTTCAAAAAGCGGTTCATGCTCAAACATGCCTTATAACTTCAGTGTGGATGGGCGGAGCTAAACTGCTGCAAGCCAAACAGATTTTTGTGACATCACAGAAAGAATCAGTTCAAAATGGTCTGTTTTTGCTGCTTAGTTTCTTCAAATTTAACAATGTTTACGTACTACATTGTACTAGATCCTCCATGTTGTGGGCACCAGAAAAATATTGGGCTAAATTAATTCCATACAGTTAGAATACAGAAGACTATTCGAGGTTATAATAGTCATTAATGAATTACACACCCAGAATTTAGTTTAAAAAAGTGTAGTAATTATATCCTTATCACATGTTTGTGAGCAAGACTCTGTAACTATATAAATAATTAATTTAGGTCATAACAATAATTTATGGGTAATAACATAACTGTAAGTCAAAAATCTTGCAAAAATTATGAATTAGTGAAATACAGTTAAGTGAAATACAATGTGGCTGAGCTGTTGAGGCTATGGACATTGTAACGAACTGTGTGTTGAGCTGGCATTAGAAGTAATTAAGGCTTATTACCTCAGCCCTGCGGACCAGTTCAGTCTTGAGGAAGACCCCCATGGCAACGGTGATGGCTCCAGAGACCATGGCCACCCATGACAGGAGCCAGAGGCCCTGGGCCAAACGCACTCTCCTCTGGAAGGAGAACTTTAACTTCAAGACTGACATGCTAGAATAAGAGAACAAAGGCAAGGGAAGGAGGTATTAAAGGATGAGCCGGAGAAAGTGAGACTGCAATCGAGAGGATTAGCCACAGGTTAAAAAAGAAAAAAACATAATTGTAATAAATTCAAAATGAAGTTATGACATCATCCCAATGCTTATTAGAATACAGCTAAAGTTGATAAACTATAAATAACTAGCCTAGTTCTGTGAGGATGAGAGAAAAGACGAGAGACGGGGATTTAAGGCTTTGGGAGGTAAATATGCTCGGCCGAACATCCGATTCAGGAGTAAACAGACAATTTACAGGTAAAGAACACATTAAAAATAATTTAGATTGTGCATTTTTAACCATAAATCCACCAAGAAAAACAGATTCAAAACAACTTTAACCCCTTAAACACTAAGGGCCTGTATGTGGGCCCATTCCTTAGTTCTTAGTTCAATTTCACATCTGCATAACTTACATGTTAATAATTGCCAAATAAATCATAATATTTACTGAATAATAAGTCTTAAGGATAATAACTCAATAAAAGCCTAGAATTCAAGTGGTTAATACATGGAAATTCCCAGTAACGTATTAAAAAAATTAAACAGAAGCTTTACATTCCATCTGAATTAACGTAAAAGTTAGGATTACTGATTACCTTCAAAGATTGTTCGGTGTCTTTCGTTTGGGACCCAGAGCCTACAGAATGCCTCCTACAGTTCTGCAGCCATTTTGGCGAGGGCTCAGAAATATTGTATGGGGCATTATTATGTCTTGGGTGCCATAATCCCTTCTCCTCAAGTCCGATCCTATTAAACTAACTCCAGCCAATAGGAATCCAGGCCAATGTCCTTTAAGCACACCTGCCCTTGGACTGCAAAGCCAAAGAGAGGGAGGGAGGGGGTCCCAGGTATCTTAATGATAGCAGTGGAGGAGAGGAAGGAGGGAGGGGAGGGAGGAATAGCAGTCAAATGGGAGGAGAAAAATGTTGTATAGTGTTTAAGGTTAAAAGTGGTCACTCAGTGTAAGAGACACAAAACGTACCAAATTTTTGTACACAGTTTATTGATCTATTGCAGTCTGAACTGAGTGTGAGAGAAAGTGCCAAAATGCGCTGAATTATAATCACCATGTCAACAGTGCAGCATCGTTCTATTCCAGATGAATGAGCACACCTGATATATGCATAACAAAATTTCACAAAACATCCATTAAATTCTTTACATTAAAATGCATGAACCATAATTAACAGTAATAACAGCCTTTACAGTATGTACATTTTCATTTTCGTTCTACCACTTACAGTACTGTGCAAAAGTCAGACACCACCCTTCATTTATTTAATTTATTTAATTTATTTAATTTCCAGTCCTAACAGCCATTTTGTCCATTTTTCAGCAAAAAAAGCAGAAAACACATATTTACCAGAAAATTTAAAAGTCTCAACAACTAAATACAACACAAAAATATTCAATATTTAGTGTGTCCACTCTTGCCTTCATTGCATCTTCCATTCTTTTCAGAGACTTGCTTTCAGTTTTTCTAAGAAATCTGATATTTTTCCACATCTTCAAGTTGGATCTTAGTAGTCTAGTTGCATTTTCTGCTTCTTGTGATGAAAGTAATCCCAAACACATTCAGTGATATTGTCTGGACTCTGGAGTGGTCAGTCCATTTGATTAGCAAATCTTCTTTTTTATCTATTTCTATATTTTTTCCTTTTTCCAGTAAGGGCTTCTTGTCAGCTACAAATCATTTCAAACTCATAGTGTTGAGTTGTCTCACAGTGGAAGGATGGATAGAAACACCTGTGGATTTTTTTCAGATCTGAAGCAATGGATTGTCTCCAGAAACATCCTGAACCTCCTGAAAAATGAATTACTTGTACTAGAAATCAAAACTATGAAGGCTGATCTCTGACCTATGCACATTACTCTACATATACAAACATTTAGCAGACAGAAGAGAAACAAAATTGACTAAAATGGAGGTAATAAGTAGCATATTCTAGCTCTCTTAGTTTAGTTATAAGCAGAGTAAACAGAGGAAAAGCAGCACAACCACACATCTTCTTTAAATAGAAAATGAAAGCAGGAGGGAAGGATAGAAAATAACCCCCATAAGGCCTACTCCCAACAAAAAAGAGTGAGTTGAAAATATTTTACATGGGCCAAATCATTTTTGAACTGGTTTTCATGTGTACTACACTGTTACGTGGGATTCTCCACTGAAAATCCTAAACATAAGTAAGTCTGCAACCAAAAAATTAGGAAATTGCTGTCAAGCAAGTTTCTATGCTCTCTTTATCCCTTCGAGTTTCCCTTCTAATCTCTAACAGTGTTTAATAGACTGAAAACCAAACACTACCTATAGACAATCTCCAGCTTTGTTTCTCCAACCTACTTTTTACTGAGAGTAGCACTCAGTGTTATAGGAGTGGTCAGCTTGAATCAGGTCATTAAATGAATACTTTAGTCAGAAATGGTAATTCTAATGCTAACGCTGAAAAAAAGTGAATAGCCATCAATTCACATGATGAAAATTACATCATGCTAATTGGTGGTTACTAGCTTCTATTCATTGTAAGGTATGTTAGCATATTTGGTTGAACTAATCCTTTAAAGCAGCCTAAAGGCCCTCTGCAGGCCTCCTCGCCCAGTCCCGGCCTACGTGATCTCTCTCTAATGGCCCTTCCTGTGTGGGAGTAGGAATCTGGGTCATAAAATTATCCAGCATCTTCTGTGCTGAAATATAGGTGACCTCATTCGGGTTCTTTTGTGCATTACCTGAACTCCCTTCTAGCTTCTGTGCTCCTGCTGCTCTGTTTGAGCCTATCTCCTCCAGGCTGTACGGATTAGCTGGAACATCGCTAGCCCTCCACATGCCGACGGAATGTATTTCTGTCTCTGAGCCTAAGTGATGCACTGTGACCATAGGGTCATGCCCTGTGGCCTTCTCATCTGCTATGTTTCTATAGATGGCCTGGCTAATATCAGCAACAGTAAAAGGAAGGTTTATATCTCCTGGTTTAGTCTCCTGGTTAAGTACAGTCTTCTCTGACCCCATCCAGGGGTCTTGACTTTCTGTCCATGGCAAAAATGCTGTAACATGCTGTTGTCTGTCACTTAGGCCTCTCTGTCCAGTGAATAACCAATCAGATGCTCTTTGCTCCCCTTTCCCAGTGGGCGATTGGCTGTCCCTGAGTCCTAAGGCTCTGCCTGATTGGCCAGTGTCAGACAGACCAGGTGAGTTGGAGGAGAGTAAGAAGTTCCTCACAGCCTCCTGAGAGTCAAAATGCTTGTTCAGAAGCTCCTTGATCAAGGAGGGAACCTGAAAATGGAAGTGACACACAACATGAAACTCATGAGGCACAAGAATGACAGTCTCTGCTCATGGCAACTTTTTACATCATCTGTTATAGATCAATAAACCAGTAATAATCTGTCCAGCATCTGCACTCACATTGATGTTTTCCAGTGAGATGATGGTATTTTTAGCTGCGTCCAGTTGCTTAGTCAGTTCCATAATCCTATGCAAGTGGTACTTCCTCTCTGAGTTTGTGCTGTCCACCTAAAAATGAGAGCAAGCTAGTAATGCTCAGCAAAGGGTTACACGCAGTGTATATGGTTATGTACTTCATGCAAGAGTGCAGGCAAAAGCTGCAGGTGCCATATAGACACTGAAAATGCTAAGTTGATTCAGTTAATTGTCATTCAACAATGTCATTATTAAGCATAATTTGACATGGATACAGGAAGTGGAGGTGCTGAGGGGGCTGTAGCACACCAAGGACTATATATCAGGACTGTTTAACTGTAACTTTAAAATAATTTGAGTGTAGTGAAGATATTATGACCTTGTTTTAAGGTGGTGCATGTATTTTCATATTATGTTTCATCTTTATATTTTCAAAATTTGAAGTAGCTACGCTGTATAACATCATATATATATATATATTTAGGCCACATTTCAATACTTTTTCAAACACGCCCATGCCAACTTCAACCCACCACTCAGATGTGGGAACAGTGAGGAGCAGATTTTTCACCCTTGGTTAATTTAGCCTCAGTATGCTAACTGGTTAGCCATGCAAACTTTTAAATGTAAATTGCTTCCTTTTTCTTCTTTTTTTTTTTTGAAACTTGAATGTAGCTTTTTCTATACTTATATAAACATGGTGTAGAGCTGTGGTGTATTGTCTTTCTTCTTCTTTTTCTTGTTATTGTTAGCTGTGTAGCAAGCTAGCAAAGTAAAGTGATAAAGTTGTTTCTGCAGTCCTGTATAACACATGCCTTAGTTTGCAACCTAAAGTCAAATGTTATGATTGTGAAATATTACACATTTAAAAGTATTTTCCTGCAATGGCTTATAAACAGCTTTGTCTGCCATTATTTACGGATTTGAAACGGTAAATGTGTCAGGTCACAGTGATTTCTGGGCAAGGTCCTTTGCACCTTCAAGGGGTTAATGGAATAAACTTCGCTTGAGCTAATAAAGTATTGGAATGGACCTTAAGACAGTGTTGTACAATCCCTCAAGGGGAAATGATAAGGCCAGAAAGGGTAAGTACTTTAAAAAATCAGCTAATGCAATAGGGTCCCACAATTGAGTGTTGAAAGTGTGCAGCATGATTATGGGTGTGACACATTCGGTTACTGTGTCCTATATCAACAATCCTATTGGCCACTGCTTATCTAATTTGCATAACGTTAATCTAGAATGAAAGAGAGCAGTGAGTAGGGTGCGCATCAGTGGTTTGATGCCTCAGTTATATATATCGCTGTTGTCGGAAGAAAACCTTGTATCTCCAAAATGGTAACTTTCCAGGAGAAGGGAAAAACATACTTTACTTTTAATGTAAGTCAATGGAACCAGACCTTTTTCCAAGTCTTTTTGGGCCATTTCTTTTGGTCCAAAATCTGAAATTTACATACAATGTAAGAGGCAACATGCATTTTCAAATTATCTCAAAAACTGAAAAATGACAAAAACGGAGATACGATTTCTTCCGACA